CAGGAGCACCTGTCAAGCTAGTAATAGCTTCAGTTCTTTCCCGTTGTCAAAGACTACCCATCTCAGTCACATTTCAAGGCAAGTAAAGAAGTTTTGTTTCTAAGCAATACATTCTTTGAAACAGTGAATTTAATGATTCCAAGGATTGCCTGAATTAGTACACCCTCTCCCACTGCTTTTTTCAATATTTCACAACAGAAAAAAATCCTCTTTAAGTCACTGGAATTCTTCCATTGCTCAACTTCTTGATTTGCCTCAAAAACTCAGTTGCCAAGCAGAGATTCCTCTCTCACCAAGGACATAACCAACCTTCAGGCTGCTCACTGCTCTTTGACATCACATGCAATAAATAGTTCTGAGTAACAGAGATGCATTTCCATGAAAATTATTATTAAAGGAACACTCAGACAAAAGCAGTAGCTTTGTTGCTAAAAAAGGTGACAAAGACGAACCAACAGTCTTCACAGTAAATTAAACTATAATGCTATAACCCTGCATTTTGGACTTTTGCCTCACTCTTTTACAGCCTCAGTGAACCAGTTCTTCTCAGTTCTGAAGCGATTCACTGAATATGTGAATTGGTATTTGCAAATACCAGTACAGAGCAACCATGAGTGCTCAGTTCCACAGCACATTTGCACCTTTGTGCAGCCTATTATTTCCACTCAGACTGAGCTGAGCATCTATTGCTGCCGACAATGCAGTGACACTCTCCCTACAGGTGTTTTCAGCGTAACCAGCAGCTTACACCTGAACTCCCTTGAGAGGCTCACCAGAATGCTTCTCATTCATGGTGGAGAACACAGTTCCAACAGCACGAGTTACGTGGTTAGTACACACATGCAGTCGCACAGGACAGGAAAGGCAGCTAATTTGTTTCTTTTACCTCTTTACAGCTATCCAAGTGTCGACTTGGTACACCAAAACAATGCAACCAATCACTTCTGAGCTAAAGCCACTATTTTAACATTCATTTCTGCTAGATAAAGCAGAAGTTTTTGCTTCAAGCTAACAGAGTACATGTGATCATAAGTATTATCAGATGGGAAGACCCAGGCTTCAGCTCCAGTTCTTTTCAGTTTTGGAGTTCCCCAAGGAGAGAAAGACAGGTACACTAACAATGTTATGCCAACATCCATTATTTTTAAATAAAGCATAGTTAACATCCAGCCTGAAGAACTAGATCTTTCCTCTTCCTCTCCCAAGACAACTTGAAACTGTGTTTATCTAGCTTGAGGACAATGAATATTCAGTTCAGTCTGTTTGGGATTTTTTTTCTCTATTTACAAAATACAGTTAAATAAAGCACTTTACTATTTCTCAGTTCTTAAGTATTCATTTACAGAAGCTACAATAATCATAATCAAGAAAGAATTCAAAGGCC